TTCAGGATTTCAAATCAAATTAATCTTCACAACCTGTATATCCATCTCTGCAAATTCCTGATCTGAATCACGTGCCATTCCAGTTCGAAGAAGACGACGGAGAGATTCGCCGGCCGCGCAAGAGAGCCCTGTCCACGACCTCCACTTGGTCGTCCTCCTCTGGCCGCGAAGTCTCCTCATGCATGGCCCGCCCCCTGACCACGCCCACTCAGATGGGCCCGCCTCTCCTTGCCCCAACGACACCCACCATGCCCATCAAGGGAGGAGGTCGCTCTTACTTGGTGACAGACATACCCTGAAGGATATGGTCGAGTTTGACTTTGTTAAATGTCCCCCCCTTTTTTCCCCTTCTGTTCTGTATATAGGGATGCATCCTTTGGGTATTTTGTTGGGAGAACCTTTTGAAAAATTAGTCTTCCACAGGGCCAACTTGAAGACAGACTAATAAGATTCGTTTTGTTAATTGTTTTAGGGTACCTTTTTTATTATTGATATATGTATAATATGGTATGCTTTGAAAAACGTAATATTACATTGAATAACTGTTTGGTTGTATATGATGTTGACTGTTAACAGTTTTTTAATTGGAGTGTGTTACAGTTGATAATTTACATGTAAATTGTGTATGTAATCTAGATGGATTTATTTCCATTTTAAAGCCTTTATATGAAATAAAACTATTTAATCATAACAAAGCACAGGGCAGATGTTATGTATAGTATATGTATAATAATTTACCATTCCCTTTTCAAGTATTTGTTGAGATCTTTTTGTGAATACAAGGATTTTTGAAAATATGAATACTATAAATGTATATTTTTTCAAAATGTATATCCACTAATATTATTCAATTTTTCAAAAAAAAATTATAGTCAAGTACATGTTTAATGTTTATTCCATAACTGAATAAATTGAAGGAGGAAAATTGACATGAGCATAATATTCAACACAGAGAAAGCATAACTTATAGATTTATCCATTTGGTTTAATCCACAACTGACCATTGTGTCACTATATAGTTTGCATAAGAATTATTAAATATATTAGCTTGGGCATAAAGAGTTCTGAGTCATCAAAAGACAAGAGAAAATATATTGTTTTTGAAATAGGTCAGTGCACTGTGGTATTTGTTATTTTTATTATTATTATGAATCAATGCATTAACTTAAATAATGACGAGCATATGTTTAGAAATCAGTCCAAATGAAACCAGCATAATCATAATTTGGTGCTATTTTACCCATCCATTTCAAAATACTGAATCCCATGGGCCTATATTGGGATATGAGGAAAAACATTATCCTGTAGATTCTTACATGAAGAAAGCTGTTTCTCAAACAAATAGAAGATCAACAAAAAAAAAATAATAACACCTTGGTAAGATCATTACCTTGTCTTTAAAACAGGATTGTTACTTATGTCAAATTTAGAAGCAGATTCACTTCTCTGATTAACTTAGGTTGCTTCAGAATGTATTTCCATTGTTCAGGATTTCAAATCAAATTTAGAATATAAATGTAACAAAATCTTACAAAAGCATAATATCATGTTTCTGCATAATCTACAAAGTAGATGTATATAGTGTATAATAAATATCACTAGGATGTATTTCATAGTTCGTATAATTTCTACTCACAAGATATAGATTTTATTTATATAGTATTAATAGAACTTTCACATCTATCAAAGACAAGATAATACATTCTATATTATGAGAGCCAATATATTTATCACTCATTACAGACATTGTACTGTGATCCTATTATTTTGAGTCGGTGTTACTCAAAGACTATGACCTAGATATTAAGCTTCTGTATGTAGAAGCGTTTCATTTCTGTAGTGGCATTGTTACATATTCTCATAATCCATATATATACATATATATAACAAGTTCTGGATTACAGTGATGATTGCTCTGGATACTATAGGCCCTACAGACAGTGGTGCCATTCATATTGTAATGAACCAGTGTTTCTGTGGTTAGTGTACACAATATTCCATTGTTCTCTGTACTGTTCAACAAACCAAGGAGTTGGATGATTCATCTTTTATATTTTTGTTTTAATAAAATACATTTTATTTCATGAATATTGTATGGAATTAGGGCAGGTTTTGAAATATGTAAGAGTCGTTATTGTGTGTTTTAACATGTAATATTGAATTTCAGTGCATAATGATTATCAAAGTGATCTAATGTTTCACCAATATATTCAAAACATTTTTTTCACTAATGTCACATAATGTTAAGGCAAGGTTATAAGGTCATTTGCAGTACTGCAGTAAATAATAATAATAATCTTAATAGTAATAACAACAAAAAACAATAACAATAATAATGATAAAATCAAAGAAAAATAATAACAATCTTATGGATATATTAATATGTGCTCATAAAATACTAGAGGAGAAAGGATTGTTATGGACAAGAATTGCTGGACTGTTTAATTATTGGATTTTATTTATTGTAAGTACACTATCAAAGAGTCTTGAAACCCTATATTTTAAAGGAATAATTGTTGCATTTTTGACATGACCATAAATTTAAGATACATAATGACCCTGCAAGGTTACACTTTTCCCATATTTTGTATCCATGATTTGCTTCCTTTCCTTTTTCTAAATTACATTATATATAAGTAAATTACTTATTTATTCATAATTTCTAAAGGGGTTGATATATTGAGTTTTATGACTTTGATACTGTTTTAGGGGTATTATATGGATAAGTCAACCCAAGATATTTACATAACTTACCAATAACAGGAACTAAATGTATTATTTCATAGGGCTTACACTCCCTAAAGTTTGTATCATATTTTATATGTATATATTGTAAATAATTTGCATATGTATACTGTATATGAATGTCATACCATATAATAGAGGGTATTTATGAACATTTCCCAAAAAAAAACATATGGAAGAAATAATCAAAATATTCAGAGTGACTGATTTACAAAATCTACCAATACACGAGACTTTAAAAAAACTCATATCCCTTTCAGTATTGTTAAATGTTGCCATTCAGTATATGTCAAGACTTAGAAATGACACATCCAGTTTTTAGAATTTCTTTCTTTATGTCTTTTTATAGCTGCTGGTGCCAGGAATGCATGCTTACATGTATAGTCCAATGTTATTTTGTTTTTTTAATTTTGTTTACTCCCAAATGGCTCTAAAATAACTTAGTCACTAAAGAATCTATTACTAGGCCTATTTGAGTTTAATTGTTTATTGTTTGTTTAATTTTTTAAATTCTAGTAAAAAGAATAATGATAATAATAATGGTACTACTACTAATAATACTCATGATGATAATAATAATAATAATGATATAAACAAACACAATAATAATAATAATAATAATAATAATAGTAATATTAACAAAACAATAGTAACAATTATAACAGTAATAGGAATATCAACTTTTTCACAAAAATTCATAGAGTGGGGTAAACATATAAGATCAAGTAGACCTAGTAACTGAATTCTTGGTGACTAAGCATTTTTAGAGCCATCTGTGTAAAAAAAAAAAAATCAATAAAATAAAAGCACTGTGGACAACGCATGGAGTCGGAGTTAATAGGTTGATCTACAGTTGTAGCTTAAATTGTCATTTGGATAATGATAGCAGTTTCATTCAAAACCATCCCCAGAAATTTTATTATATGCTATTAGTGATGGTACATAGTTATACTTTTATCCATTTTATGCTTGCACAAAGTTATTTTCTCTCATTCTGTCCTTTTTATAATTCAAGAGATAATTTTTAATAACCTTGTATTGGGTATCATAACAAAATCTATCACTATGATTTCAACTCCTATTCTCTCCCAAAATATAATATTAAAAGATAACAAAGAGTTAAAACCAAAATAATAACGATCAAAACTACAATGAGCTAACAGTGACCGTCCACAATGACTGTCTAGGAGTGATGAAGTTGCTTCAGTGATTCCTTTTATTAAATTCACGACCATATATATATAGATGCAGTATAAAAAAATGTATAGGTTCGTGCACCTGACTTTAGATATACGCATTTGAAAAATTTTGAAGAATCAATCGGTCAACTGCACTATCCCCTTAACAGTCGATGTATTACCTCCTCTCTTCACTTGTATATGACATAATGCATCACTGTAGTGTCTCACTGCTGTGTTACTTAGGCCTGTCTTCTTATGTGAAAATGTTCAAAGCTTGTTCAAAGAAATGTCAGTTGTATGGATACCTGTGCATATGCTGAAATAATATGGCATATCATATTCTGATTATTTTTCCTTTTCATGAGTAGAAAGCCATTTCTCTTTTTCTGTGTTATAAATAAAAAGTCAAAGCAAGTCAGGGTCATTATATATCATTATGTTTAAGTAAACCATTAATCATGGATCCCTATTTATCTTCCTATATTCAAGATGAAGACAGTCATAACTTCAGTGATGTTATTACATACTAAAAGGATCAATTCAACGCCTTTTGTAAAGTATTAAACAATAATACGGTGCAAATTTTGTCTTAATACAAAATGAATACTTTCAGAATAATAATAATATATAATATACATATCCATTGTTTTTCTTACCTGTGTAGAGATAAATAAAAGAATGACAGAGACACTTGAAACAAACGTCCCTATCAAATGACATTTTCCTAATTTTCCTTTCTTTAACTTTCTATTGGAACTTTTCTCTCTAATTTTTGTAAAGAGTGTTGTCACCATGAAACAAATGGTATAGTTATGTCATATTCAAGTTTACAACCTTTTCCTAATGTAATGGGTTTAATGTAATGTTGTAATTGAGCAAGGGACACAATTCACAAGATACTTTGGTGCCTTGTTTAACCCTTGTTATATATATCTGTGTGTGTGTGTGTGTGTGTGTGTGTGTGTGTGTGTGTGTGTGTGTGTGTGTGTGTGTGTGTGTGTGTGTGTGTGTGTGTGTGTGTGTGTGTGTGTGTGTGTGTGTGCGTGCGTGCGTGCGTGCGTGTGTGTGCAATAT